GCACTTACCAAAAAATAAACGCTCAAATAAATTTGATCATCTTGGAAAATGTTATAAACTTTAAATCCACCCAAACTAAGCTCTTATTTTAAAGTTCATTGTGTAAATATATTAAAAAAAAGAATAAACGTTGAAACTCTAAGATATTTTGAACCTTCTAGCAATTGTATTAATAAGAGCGTTTTGTTTGTAAAATTCGATTTTTTTAATTTACATGTTGAAATTTGTATCAATAAAATTATTCTATTACACTTACAAACAGTTTACTTAAATTCGGTTACTTTGGCCCGAGGTTAATGAATCTGTTTCAAACTTAAACTCAAAATTATTTAATCAGTCTAGGCTGTTACAAGCTCTTGTGAACGTCAACTATATGCCAGCGGTTCGTAAATCTACGGCGGGAGACTTTGTATTAAGAAGAACCACCAAGAAACTCAGCAAGGTTTTTTTTTCTCCCTGTTTTATTTCATACAGTGTCGTCAATTGAAAGATGACATCAAAACTTGAAAACATGTACACCTGTCATGTTCCATCACATTCTTAAAAATTAGATAAATATACACTAATAATTTAAAAAAGGGTCAAATAAACAATTTTCAACCAAAATAGGCAAGAAAATCTATGTTATAAGGTAACTCGATTATTACTTCTGGTATGTTATTATATATTTTCAAACTATTTTAAGAGACAGATAGCAAAATCTATCATATAATTCTTTATGTCACCCAGGCCTTTGGCAACAGAAATTGCTCCTATTGAGCAATATTTTGTTGACCGACGACTGTCAGTAATTCATCTTTTGATTTATCTTTAAATACTTATTTAAATTAATTAATAAGTCAATGGAGGTTCCCTCTTGCATAATGTCTAACAAAACAATAAAATAATGTTAAATTTCCTGTTAATAGTTACCTATCTAAAACTTCTAATAAATGTGTTAGTTTTTTCAATCTGGTGAATCACAATATAGAAAGAATTTCAGTTCTTCATGATTTAATATAGATATATTTATGGAATTTAAATTTGTTATGCAGGAATTAGCCAGGGATTTGTATTTATTTATTTTTATTTGATTTGATTTGATTTTATTTATGGATATTTTTTATAACAGAACACAAGGCCATTTTTATAATAGTCAACGACTCGCCACGCTTGTCGATAGCCTCACCCCAAATATGAGTCAAGTACGCTAGAAGATCATTAATCAGAGAGTGATCCTCTAGGTAGCGGGTCAAATGGTGACTGGTGAATACTGAGGTGACTGATTTAGACTATTGGCCGGCCGTTGGCCGGGTCTGAGCGATCCCCTTTTTTGGGCACCGGTTTCACGTTGCCATCTCTCCAAGTTTCCGGCACACGCCCCGAAGAATACGAGCTTTGGTACAAGCGAGTGAGCACAAAAGACAACTCTGCTGCACATTTTTTAAGTACAACTGCTGGGATGCCATCAGGTCCACTAGCTTTCCGGACGTAGTAGCACGAACTATACGCTGCCTGATTTTAATATCAGGCATCATTGTGCCACAGTGAGGTAAAGATGGTGGCAGTGCTTAATATCGTCGATGTGGGATCTGTAGAGGCACATGTAGACCCTGTATTTTGGTTTACAGTTTCAGGGAGTCATATTGCTTGTTTGTTTCTATTATGTATAAGAAGAAAAATAACTTCCCCGCTGTGAGCGTGTAGCCCCTTACACTACTATTCTTAGGGTTACCATAAAAAACGGTTTTCAAGATGTTGTTTTACCACGTTTGGATATACGTAATATTAGTCATATTACGTATATCCAATCCATGCCAAATTACAACTTTCAAGTACTGAGTACCCAAGCACGAACTTTGACAGTTGTCTGATAGCCGCAAGAAACAGTTTATTAATAGGATACCATTAATATTACCATTGAGCCTATTTTAGCATCAAACTCTGATTCCATTCATTGTAACAACAGACTATTTCCCATTTGCTATCCGTTCGAATGTATTGCTGTAACACAAGCAATTGTCATTAATGAAATAACCCATACGTGCACTGAACTTAAGTCTATGATTAAAGATAGCACAGAGGCAAATCTTTATTCAGTGCGCGTTTATGAGTAAGCACTGGCGGGCTGTCGCCACCAATAGAAACATTTCTTTTATGCTTCCTCTACACGTAGACGAATACGTCCGCGGACGTCGACAGATGCAGCATCATCAGATAGATCACCACGAGCCGACCACTTGCTGATGACGTCTGTAGGTCATTCAGTCTATGTTAATTCTCGACAGATGGAACTGGTACGCACACAACATTAAAAAATAAATGTTGAGATCGTAACTGCCGCAGCAACTTATTTATAAGTACTTTTTAGTACTACTTAATGAGCATCGAATTACAGTTATAAAAATGAAATTGAAAAGAAGAAGGTGGTGGATGCTGGCTATTTTTCGGATTCCACGAGCAGTTTTTGGCTTGAATACAACTCGAGGAATTTTAATGTTTCATAAGTGCATAGACCAAACAAAATTGCAAGCACGCGTTCATTCTCATTAGCAACTCCAGTACTACTGATGCGTCGTGAGACGTGTGGACAGACGCCGGGCGTTCGTCGCTGAAACCCTTTGTTGCGTGCCACAAAAACCGACAACAAAGGGATTGGTGGCATCTGCAACTGCCGACGTTAAATACCTGCCAAAGATGAGCAAACTACTCCATCTATACGTAGGAGGACGCATCCGAAGATGGCATCTGCAGATGCATCTGTCGACGTGTAGAGTACGGCATTAGATCTGTAGCAAACCGTATGTATTCGGTACTGAGTATCGGGTACGCCATCGAAACGTTACAAACAAATGCATTTCAATACTCGCATTTAAAATTACCTACTTTTTTAATTATTATTTAATTTAGTTAATGCATGACGGATTGCGGTGTTATTGTGATATTATTATTTCCACGTATCAGATAATCGAAATAGTAAATCCGTAGCAAATTCACTCGTTTCCTGTCAGATTTTTGGTGTAATTAAATTACAGTTTAATTTTAGTTTTAACCAATTTACGTAGAAAATAGATTAACACATACTAAATCAAATGTAATTTATATTAACATAAAAAAGAAAGGAGAGGTGTAGTCTAAAAACGGTATTATGTATTTAAATCTAAAGAAAATCGTTAAAAATAAAAATATAATTAATATGTATTAAGTATTTTTATCTACAAAGTACGATTGACGCGACGTCAGCGCTATCATCATCAACAGCCATCTAAGTCCACTGCTGGACATAGGCCTCTCCAATTGCATGCCACTGGAATCGATCTTGGGCTACTCGCATCCAGCTCCTGTCAGCGCTCTACCATACGCAATATGCGACATCACCTGATGCGATACTCTATGTTATCGCTAGCTATCGAATAGTTTGCGAGTCCGAAATGTCATTGTCAAATGTGTACTGATTTTTATTTCTCGTTACTTACGTTGTGACGCTGCTGTTCCAGTTTTCATACAAAATTTAACAATGGCATTTCGGACTCGCAAACTATTCGAATTCGATATTGGTTCATGCTAGGGGTACAGATTGTTATAGTAACGCATGCATACGGGTAGCTCTGTCTCTGTCCCTTCTTTACTCATGTAACTTAAGTATCCAGGCAACCATTGTCAGACGCGGTGGCATTCATGTTATCCAGTTCACACTTCATTGATTCGGGTCAATGGGAAATATTCTTATTGTGGAGCAAGAAGCGCGGAGAGGGGAATAATCTTTCCGATGAGCACGCTAAATGACGATTTGTCATTCATGTAAACGTGCCATCAAAATGGGTCCCGTTTACGATACAAATTACAGTTTTTGAATAATTTGAGCTCATAAGAAACTTACAAGAGAGTTTTATTATAGAGGTTAGCGATTTTGGAAGTTAATGTTCGTATAGCTCGGTTTTTGGAAGGAAGACCGCACCGGAGTGCCCTTTGAGTTGAGTTGCTGACGACTCGGACAATAATTAAAAATTTTTTTTCGACACACCAATTAGCTTAGCCCCAAAGTAAGCAGTGTAGGCTTCTGTTATGGGATACTAGGGTTACAGAACGGATAGAATACTTATACTGATACATATTTAAGTATCATCATCAGCCTATTAATGTCCCCACTGCTGGGGCTCAGGCCTTCCCTTCGGGTGGAATAGGGAGATTGGGCCATGACCCACTACGTAGGCCCAGTGCGTATTGGTGAGTGCTAACGACTGCAGATGCAGCCTGGATCAACGACTTAACGTGCCTTCCGAAGTGCTCGAGATAGTAAATTTTTGGTCACCCATCCAATGACCGACCACTGCGAAAGTAGCTTAACTTCAATGATCGCAGCCGAACGCGCTAACCACTTGCGCCATCGAGCTCCTCGAACTATATAAGTATATTTATAACCCGGCGTTCAAACCATTCGACCACGGAGGTCGCCAAATATATTCGGAGACAGTGTCTGAGTTGACACTTTTTTAATTTAAATATATATATGTTGCGGTTGCATTGGTGGGAAAGTTAGTTTGATTCTATTATCATTAAACTTGCAACTTACTGAATATTTTTTTAAATTAGGCAAGTAAAGTAGTAACAATCATTACGCTTCCTCCACGTGTCTTTCAAATTTCTTGCGAAATAGAAGTTTTATGTATTTATAAAGGTTAATTACAATTACCAAATTACAGATGCGATTAGTATAAATAAATATTTAGAATGCTACATTAAAACAGAAGTCTTAAAATTAATTTGAAATAGAGCAACGACGAATAAAAACGGCGACAAACTTATAATAATTATTAATTTACTAGCAGTTCCAAAAAACAGAAACATCTGAAATATTTTGGTTAAAAGCTAAATCGTATTTTGTGATAGTTTCGTATTGTTTTAGAACACAGTTGGGACTCGTTAACGACAGTTAATTTCCTTTATCGGATCACAAATGATTTGTTGTAGAGATTGAAACTTAATTAACTCTGCTAAACTGTTGAAAACGCAGAGTATTAATGTTAACACGTGTGAGCTCAATTTCATACAAGAGATAGGTACTTACTGGTTTTAACACTCGAATCTAAAATTTATTAATTGTTGTCTGACGTCATAAAAAGGCCATTGGTCACTTTCCATACAGTGCTAGGCCAAGAAGTGGACAGAGTAGAGACAAGTGTCTTTTTATAAATTAGCAATGAGGCTTAACCTTTCATGATTGATTGGTGCAAATGTAGTGTCCCTGCTGAGATATATTGTTTTAAACTTTCATGGTCATTATTAGTTTTTACCAAAATGCAGGATCCATGGAACAGGTGCGAGTGAATAGTGAGAAAGTGACCAGTGGTAGTATCGAGCGCAGTAAAAGACGACGTCAGAGGGTAAATTATTTAAATTATGTCCTGTGCTGCACTTGTAGCGCTGGGAAAGTGAAAAAACTACACCATCGGTTCGCAAGCTGGATCCGTTTGAATGGAGCATGAAGTCATGCCAGTTGGAAACTAGTGTCGTATCTTGGTAGTCAAACAAGTAAGGGTACAGGGGTCCTTCCATTCGGCGGGTCAGCGCATCTCTTCCTTAGGTAGTCACTCAGGGAAACAAAGTCCTGAAAATTTCAGAATTTTTATTTTGTAATGCTCTGCGCTTGCAAAATTTTATTGTGGATTAAAGTTATGGTGAAATAAAGAAATTTACATACATGAACCCTGAAAATATTACACTCTATTTTAAGTGGTCGTGTAAAAATAAAAAAAAATGCAATTTGCACCGCATTAACAAAGCTTATTTTATTATAAAATATTATGGTTTTCAGAAATTCAGAAAGAATTAATTTGTTGTAAATTTATATCTATATATATAGTTTCCACTATTAATTGTACCAGTAAGGGTCGACGACATATTTGGACTGGCTATATTTGGAGAATATAGGACAAAGATCAGGCTACCAATCTTAACGCTTTTTTAGTTTGCTTAAGTAGTTAACCTTTGAGGATTTTCTCTCTATCCGCACCCTCAGGGATAGTACGGATGCGAATTTTCCTAGTAAATCCTAATTTTAACTGTCTTTATTTCAGCTTTTCAGAAAACTACTAAGAAGAGGGTTAGCTCTATAATATGATCGTTATAATTTGTGTAAAACTTGAGAGGTTAGTGTTTCGGAGGTGTACATAATGATTTTACTGCTGTAGATTTCTGCGAAATAGTGGCAGCAATTACCAGATCGACTACTGCTGACTTTTAATGGTTGTTTCCAATTAGTGCTTTTTGTTTTAGCAGGACTGTATTTTTTATTTGATAGTTGTCACAAAATACCTTTATATATTTTTTTAAGTGACGTCGGCCTGCCGAGTACGCGTAGACCGTCGCTACGACTGCGCTCATGACTAAGCCTAAATTCGTGATCGAGCAATTATCGCTCCTGTCCAAAGGTCCTGGAGTCCGAATCCCGGCAGGGGCGTTTATTTGAATGATAAACACAATTTGTTCCAGAGACATTGTTGTTCTTATTCGTAATAGAATAATATCGATTGTATAGTATAATTTAATTTTCATATCACAATAACATCGAATATAAAAAAAAGTCCATCGTTTCAGTAATTACTGGATGAATTCAGTGTGATTTTCACTAATGGTTATGAGTTATGACAAAGTGTTATCGAACATTTAATTTTGTTCTGAAACTACAAAATATTTTTAAATAGACCTATTTTATTTTCAATTAACGTTACCAGATTGAATTGCAATAGTTTACCGAATCATGTCTGGAACCTGGACCGAGTGGTTATTTTTCTAGTAAAATTTTCTTTAGATTACCGGATGTTATTATTTAACCCACTGGTTTTTGGAACACCGCCCTGGAACACTTGCACCGCCTTAAAGGATGATTTCTAGGAACTAAATTATGTTTTTTCCCGGGTCTCAAACTATTAATAAATAATCTGAATCAAATTTCACCTACATATGTTCAGCAGTTTAAGCGTTACAATAACAGAGAGACATCCTTTCGATTTTTTTATAATATTAGCATGGATACGAATAAGGTGGTCAACAAGTTTTGCCTTGCCTTAACCTTAGAATGCTTCCGATATTCGGGTCTAGTCTAGTGTTCTTAGGTGGAGATCTCGCCAGCAAATCTCCGACCTTGACCCCATTTTCTGCTCGGTGGAACTCTGACAACTTTTCTCATTACGACGGGGTATACGGTCAATGCCGTACAAATATTCATTGGGCCGCTAGATGCATTCATTCATCTGTAAATGTAATGAATACTGACTGAACCAGTTTTAGGTATCAGTAAAATATTGGATAAGGTTACCACATTTCTTTAATAACAAGCACTTGTTTTATTGCACAGGCACACAAAATTTATCATACACAAACATACTATGAATCAACATTGAATTATCTAATCAAATAAATAATCACGTCAAAGGAAGGTATATTGATACATAAATCAATGAAATTTGCAGGTTTAGAAAATACACCCGTGGCAGTGTGGCTGGGTCTGCTATCGGGCGCGTCCTCTCGGGTGGCGGATGGGAGGTACCGGCTTCGGCCGGCGTGGACCATACCATAGCTGTGGAGACCTGGCTGGCGTTCTGGGTATCCCGGGTAGCGGCAGTCGGGTCAAACTCGTAACCTTGCACATAGTGCGGGGCCAAGGGCCCCCGTCTGCAAAGGAACTGTTTCCTTTGGAGGCGGGGGCTGCGAGGAAGACAACCTCTCTAAAAAATTACCCGGTGGTGGTCTCGGCTGGCGCCCAGGGTATCCCGGGTAGCGGCAGTCGAGTCAAGCTCGTAACCCTGCACATAGTGCGGGGCCGAGGGCCGCCGTCTGCAAAGGAACTGTTTTCTTTGGAGGCGGGGGCTGCGAGGAAGACAACCTCTTTAAAAAATCACCCGAGGGGTCTCTTGGCCGGCGCCCTGGGAAGCCCGGGTAGCGGTGGTCGAGACTTCATAGTTGAGGCGAATACGCCATTGGTGAGGGCGGTTGCGGCGCGAACTCCGCGTCACTTCCGGCCAACCCGTAACCCCGCACGTGGTGTGGGGCCGGGGGCCGCCGTCCTTCGGGGCGGGGGCTGCAAGGAAGAAAACCTTTTCAAAAATTAAAAAAATTTCAAAAAATTCAAAATTCAATATCGTTTATTCAGTCTAGGCTGTTACAAGCACTTGTGAATGTCGAAAAGCTACGCCATCGGTTCGCAAAACTACGGCGGGAGACCTTGTACTGAGAAGAACCGGCAAGAAACTCAGCAAGGGCTGCTTTTTTCTCCCTGTTTTATTTCATACAGTGTCGTCCAATTGAAAGTTGACATCAAACTTGCAAACATGTGTTGAGGTCAACTTCCATCACATAATGTCAAATATGTAACAATCAATGAATTTACTAACAATAACTGCAAAGATAAGTCCCAAAATAGCAAGAAACAATTTTCAAAATAAAATGAACAAGTATATGAAAGGGAGTAAGTGCAAGGTTCTCTTCAAAACTCTTTCTATAACTGGGAGCCTTAGTTTTAATATAACTTTTGAAAAATTATCTACAAGTAAAATTACAACCAGGCCGTTTTATCATTCAAATATTGATTGACAGTATAATATCCTTTCATAAGTAAACAATTCTTAATGTGTATTTTAAATTTATGAGGAGGCAAATCAAGGATATCAATAGGAATCTTATTATAGAAATGTATACCTTGACCCATAAATGATTTATGAACCTTCTGTAACCTGTAATTTGGTATCTTGAGTTTATTTTTATTCCTTGTATTAAAAGAATGTATGTCACTGTGTTTTAGATAATAGTTAATATTGCTTCGAACAAAAAGTATGCAATTATAAATGAATTGAGAAGCAACAGTCAAAATCCCGATTTCTTTAAATTTTTCTCTAAGAGATGTTCTAGAACTAAGTTGATAAATAGCCCTTATAGCTCTTTTTTGCAAGATAAATATAGTTTCAATATCGGCTGCTGATCCCCAGAGAATAATACCATAGGATACAATACTATGAAAGTAACTAAAGTATACAGTTCTAGCAGTAGCTACATCAGTAAGTTGTCTTATTTTACGTATGGCATAGGCTGCTGAACTAAGTTTACCAGCTAGCAGAGAAATATGAGGATACCATTGCAATTTCGAGTCTATGGTTATACCTAAGAATATCGTTGACTCAACTAAATCTAGGTTTTCATTGTTTAGTTTAATTCTAATGGTTTCGCTTCTAACATTAGGTAAAGTGAATTTAATGCATTTGGTTTTATTTGCATTTAATTTTAAGTTATTTACATTAAACCAGTGCAATACTTGTGAGAGAGCATTATTTACATCGTCAAAGTTATTCTTGTATCGGTCAACCTTAAATAATAAAGAAGTATCATCAGCAAACAATACGATCTCACACAATTTTTCCACAAAAAATGGCAAATCGTTTATGTACAATAAAAATAGAAACGGACCTAAAATCGATCCCTGGGGAACGCCCATTTTCACATAAGATCCAGATGACTTAACACCATTTACCTCTACAGTTTGAACTCTGGAACTGAGATACGATAGTAGCAAATTTTGGGCTGCGCCTTTGATTCCATAGTGATTTAATTTTAACATCAGCGTCTGGTGCTCAACGCAGTCAAACGCCTTGGATAAGTCACAGAATACCCCAAGAACATTCTGCGACTTCTCCCAGGCTTCCATTATATGTCTTATAAGTGCAACACCCGCATCCGTTGTTGATCTACCCCTAGTAAAGCCAAATTGATTATTATGTAACAGTTTGTTCAAACTGACATGCGATAATAATTGATCTAAAATAATTTTTTCGAAAATTTTACTTAATACCGGTAATATTGATATAATAATAATTACCTTTTGATGAGGCCAGGTAGGGTTTCCTCGCCCGGAAGAGGGAAAAAATGTATGTAATGTCGGACAATAGTGTTTATTTGTCCTGCGATCCCGCTGACACCGGGCGCCCTGGGGAAGCTCCTACCCAGGGTGTTAAATTTGTTAGCAGCGGCCTATGCGCTCCGGTTGGCCATCGGCGCCAGGAGGATACCGGTACCCCTGGTGTTAAATTTGCTACCGAGGCGTCAGTAGGAGCTCTCAGGTTGAGAGGCGGAGGCGACGAAGACGGGGATGGAACATCCTTCCCCGCCAAGGTTAATACGGCCCGACGGGGCAAGAAAAGAGCGACGGCGTCAACTAAGGTGAAGGAAACGTACGAGGAACCGAAGCCAGTGGGCTCCAACGTCGAGGAGGAGGCTGATTGTCGCTCATGGCCGGAGTTGGAGCATGAGACCAAGATTTTGATGCTTATATCGTCTATAAGCGAGATGGTCAACACTCGGCTGGCCTCCATAGAGGGAAGGTTGCCGCCTAGGGGTCAGGCTCCAGAGCCTCCCCGGGTGGACATACCAAAGAAGAAACCGGCAACCCAGCCGACGAAGGTAGTGGCCGCGGACTCACAGGAGTCCTGGAGTGTAGTGGCCCGACGAGGCAAGGTGAGGAAGACTCCGGCACCTGTCGCAGTGTCGAAGCAAGACACACAGCAGGAGTCGGCCAAGGTGGGTGAGAAAGGGCGGGAGGATCGTCAGCGCCCCTCCCCGAAACTGAAGACTCCGACTACGGCGGCCATTACGCTGAAGCTTACAGCTGAGGCTACTAAGAAGTGCGTCACCCTCCAGAAGGTGATGGAGAAGGCAAGGAGTGATATCTCCTTGCCAGAGGTCGGAATAACGGGTGGCATGACCATCAAGGCTAGTCAGACCGGGGACAAGCTGCTGCTGGTTCCTGGGCCTGACAGTGGCACGAAGGCCGACGCCCTAGCAGCGCGCCTCCGAGATGCGGTGGCGGGCCTCGCTGAGGTGGGAAGGCCAGAAAAGATGGCGGGCCTACGAGTGTCTGGCCTCAAAGACACCGCAACGATGGCGGATGTCATCAAGGCAGTGGCTGATAAGGGAAGCTGTCCCAACAATATGGTAAGCGCCTCGGAGTTGCGTCCCGGCCCAGGGGGTATGGGACTCACGGTGGTGCGGTGCCCAATCGGCATTGCAAAGAAGGTGATGTCTGGCGGCGTGCTCAAAGTGGGCTGGTGCGCTGCACAGGTGCGACTGCTGGGCCCCCTTCCTATGCGCTGCTTCAGGTGCATGGGCAGAGGGCACACCTGCCGACAGTGCCCATCTGAGCACGACAGAAGCCAGGCGTGCTTCCGATGTGGGCAGCAGGGACACAAGGCGGCGGAATGCCCTGCCGAGCCCTGCTGCGCCATATGCAAGGAGAGTGGTTTACCGGCCGACCACGTGATGGGGAAGGGGAGGTGTGACCCGCCGGTCACCAAGGGCAAACCCCCCGAGAGAGTGGCCCCTGAGTTGGCGCCTGCACGGGCGCCCTCAGAGGGGGGCATGTCCGAGTAGCCTCGGCCGCTCGGACCCCACCCCCACACGAATGCTGTCGCCCGCCTTTCCCCCCCTCTTCTCCTAGGAGAGGACGCGAGGAGACGTGGGCGACCGGGAGGGGGAAGAGGGACGGGAAGAATTACGCTTCCCCTCCCGTTCCCCCCTCCCAGGAACGGCGGCCCCCCCACTCGTAGTTCTGTCCTACAAAGGGGGGGCGGCGGAGGGTTCTTGGACGGACACGCTAGGAGTCCCCTCCGCAGCGGATGGGGGGCGGTACGGTGGGCACTAGGCCGCATACCCAGCCCCCACGCGCGGGCCTACCTGCGCACGTCTGCGGGGGCCCCGTAATACCGCGGGACACCCCTGCCGTGGAGCCCCGGCGAGGCCGGGAAGCTGCTGGGGGCGGAGCCGTGGTAGAATCCCTAACGGGGACCCTGCGGCTCCGCACTAAGCAGTGTAGAGGTATTCGCAGGACTTTTTTAGCGGATATTATGCTGTAAAGCGGCCGTAAGAGTTGCGGGGTCCTCGGTGGGTAGCCACTGGGGGGTCCGTAAGACTTGCGGGAGCCAGGTGTGAGGTCCGTTCGGCGGTGTGCCTCTTAAAGGCGCCGTCGTCTGTAAAAAGATTTTTTACCTGCGTTAAAAAAAAAGGTTTAGAAAATACAAAGAGATGTCTAACTGGAAAAACAACCAATTAGACTTACTACAATCGGCCTGGAGAAAGTCAACATTAAAAACCTACAAACATGCCTGTGGAAAACTGGGTTTCTTGGGCTTCAAGCTAAGATGTTGAAGCCAATGAACCAAAACCAATGGATTTTGAACGTTTTCTTTGCTACCTCCTTCATGTACTAAAATTGGCTCCCAGAACCATACAGTTGCCCAAATCGGTGGTTAGCACATTTACCAACCCATCTAAAAGTCAATGGATAAGTTCATATAGTTTCTCAAACACTAAAAGGCATTATTCCAAAAGAAACCCCCCGCCAAAAACCACTTACGTGGAATATAGATGATTTATTGGATTAGCTTATTTGCAGTTCCCCGACATGTCGCTATATTACTTTTACTGGCATCGGGCAGAAGGGTACACGACTTTACGCTTTTAGGCTTAGACCATAACCATTTCGTAGAACGAGTAAACGAAATAGTTTTTTGGCCAAAGTTTGGCTCAAAACAACTAGTCGGCACGTCATATATACAGTCGGGATGGTGTTTTAAAGCTAATTCCACAGTAATGTGGGACATAATATACTGTACAAAGATATTTAAGACCGTATCTCAGAATCGTCGTAATATGGGAAATGTGGACAATTTCTTCATCACCACTGGCGGTAAAATAAAAGGAGCCTCACGCACTGTCATAGCAGGGTGGGTCAAAACTTCATTTAAAGGGGCCAATATTCACTCTTCGGTAGGAAGCACTAGCGGTATCAACGGATAATTGGACAAATAAAAACATGGACATAGACGAGGTTCTTAATAGAGCAAACTGGAGATCTAAGTGTACTTTCATGAATCACTACTTTAAACAAATCGAAACAAGCTCGAATCTATCGAGTGTTGCCATAAGTGATTGTTTCTATTCTCTAAATTAATATTTTCACGTTGATTTCAATCAGTACTTAAGTAAATAATCAGAAATATATTGGTAATTTCTATGTATTACTAGCTGTGCCTCGTGGTATTACCCTCGGTTTATTACGGACATTTTCCTGCAGTAAAACGTAGCCTATATGTTAATCCAGGGTGTCAGCTAACTCCATACCAAATTTTTTTAAAATCGCTCCAGTCGTTTGGACGTGAAGAAGTAACAAATATACACACTCGCAAACTTTTGCCTTTAAAATATTAGTGTGATGATTCATTAAAAAAATCCAAAAAAATAAAGAGATGTATAAAAAAGATATGAAATATATATTATATAGTATTAAAGACATGTTGATAAAACAATTTTGTTATTTATGACGTTTTAGTATATCATGGTTACTTAAGATCAAAATTCACAGTACACTCGGTACAGCGCCGGCAGATTTTAAGCACGCCTCATGTTTTATTTTTTATTGCCAGGTAGTATAGGCAAGTGACTCTACCCCACCTGATGTAAAGTGGTGATAAAGTCTAAACGCGAAGATAGCTGGTACAGCAGTTATAAACTATCATATTCTCACCTTGCCTGCCTGTAAAAATGCTTCTACATGCCTCTCTTAAAGCATCCCGGATTGTAGGAAAGAGGGAACACGTGCGCGGGCAAATAATTCCACTTGCGAATAGTACGACAAAGAAATGAGTCACCAAATTTCTTTGTTCATGTAGAAATGGTGCCTAAGGGGTCTAGTACCCGTTGGACCCTCTAGATTCGACCCAAAAGCAAAAAGTGCCCATTGGATCTCTTTTTTGGTGTCCATTGGACCTTCTTAAAAAGTTTTTTATAGTAAGTCGGTAGCAACCGGGTGTCGACGAAGGCCAGCGCGCGTGGTCCTCTGAAGTAAAGTAAAGGTGATGGAGGAATAAGGGAGCATAACTCCTCAGAACACTCGCCGTGGTAGAATATAGTTAGTAGAACGTGATTAATGATGCCACATTGCGGCGTAATTGTAAAGACCCGAGATTCTTAGTTACCTCTTCGTCGCCAGTGATGCGGGCAGCGCGCCGCTGCATCCTATCCAAGGCATCGAGTAAGTGCTTAGCGGAGCCCTCCCAGAGGTGCGAGCAATATTCTACGCAGGACCGCACTTGCGTTTTATACAACAAGCACAGTTGATCAGGTGTGAAAAAATGCCGCACCTTGTTCAGGACTCCGAGTTTGCGTGGTTTTGATAACAGTTTTGATGTAGTCTTTTGGATTCAGGTCTGAGTGAACTTCCATACCGAGCATGGTGATGTTGCTCTGTAGCGCCAATGTAGTGCCCTAAAGAGCGGGAAGGGGAAGGAATGGCGATGTTTTTGCCGTGAAAACGCAATCCTGGGTTTTCTTACTATTTAATCTGTAAATAAATAACTGTATAATATAATGTTAATATTTTATGAATGTTATTATATTTGTGCACCCACCCGCGACTTCGTCCGCGTTAACTTTAGAGTTTTGAAAATCCCCCAGGAAACTTACACTTTTCCGAAATAAAAAGTATCCTATGTCTAATTTCAAGTCATAGACTAAATGCATACCATATTTCATCCATATTTGTTCAGTAGTTTTTGCTTGATTGAGTAACAAACATACAAAATTTGACATTTATAATATTTGTGGGAAGTAGTAAGATTCCAAGACAGCTTCGCGGAGTAGTAAAGATTTGGTAAAAACTATCAATTTTCTGATACATGAGCTATCCTTGCAACTGGTCTCCACTTTCATCAGGTAGGGTGGTAAAGTTTATAAAAGAATTCTACTTGTCCTACTATTATTATAGATGTTAATGTTTGTAAGTTGGTGTGTTTCTATGTTTGTGAATCAATCACGCATAAGCAGCTGAACGGATAGGGATAAAATTTGGCACATATATAATTTATTACTTGGATTGAGACATAGGATACTTTTTATCCCAAAAATGTAAGGGTCCTGTGGGATCCTAAGAAAACTAAAGTTAACGCGGTCGAAGTCGTGGGTGGCCCCAAGTCTGTATATAATATAAGTACCTATATGGACATAAATCTTTTTCTTTTTTTTTCTTCTTACTATACTTTTTGTACATTTATAACCAAACGTATACATATCTACATTCAGAATTTGTTAGCAGCAACGCAGTGCCTGTTCGGTTGATTGTGTCCTTTGTTTCATATCTTCGTTAACTGTGAGGTTCTATCAATTTACCTTTTGTCTCGTGTTACAATTTAAAGTGAATGAAAAGAGTTGCTCCAGAGACTTTTGTCCTGATTAACTCACACACTCATATGATTGAAATGCTGATTTAGAAAACATTTATGCATACGACAATTTTATTTACAAAATATTTACAAAATAGCAATATATTTTTTTGTAAAACGCTTCGTTTTCACGGTCTACATTCATGTTAATTTTGACTCCTAGATTGGAGGAGAAAACAGTAAATGTCTATTGTAAAGGCTAACACATAACAGGCAGATTCAAATATATGGCACCAAGCAACATCAGTATTTAAACAGACAGACCGCAATTCAACCGCATTTTTACTACAAAATTGCACGTTAAACACAGTTCACATGTAGTTAGAATGACTGCACTAAAACCGACGATGCAGAAATCACACTGACTGCAACGGAACTGGGCAGTACCCTTAATAGAAATGGAATTTCGTCAAATGTATACAAACTGTACATGGTTATAATATTTATAGGTATATGTTTAAGCATTGACCTGCTGGATGTTTAAATCACAAGAAATTTTTACTCGGATTCGAACACGCATTTTTTGCTATCCGGACGGAATCCCGTCTGAAACATGGATTGAGTGGAATTTATGAAGTGAAACTTCTTTAGGCACGCTTGCCTAGAGGGTAAACGGGCGAATGTGTTACGATTAGTGTCATCGGTGACTCATCGGTAAACAATGAACAATACACGTCACAAAATACTTGAATCTAGTGCTAGGTGGATGATAACGGACCTAGCGCGGATTAATGGTTGATAACGGACCCAGCCCGGATTGGTGGTTGATAACGGACCCAGTGCGCATTGGTGGATGATAACATACCCAGCGCGGATTGGTGGGTGATAACGGACCCAGTGCGGTTGATGGGTGATAACGGACCCAGCGCGAATTGGTGACGATAACAAACTTAGTGCGAATTGCTGGATGTTAACGGAGCCAGTGTGGATTGGTGGGTGATAACGGACCCAGCGCGAATTGGTGGGTGATAACGGACCCAGCGCGGATTGGTGGTTTCTTTTCCTATAAGCAAATCTTCAGGTTAAGTTTATGATTTCAGAACATTAAAGGTTAAGAAGTTTCACTTCAGTCGTGTGGTCATAAGCACATTCGTTTTTTTATAGTAAAAAGAAAATCGGTCACGCCTCATTGAAAAATAAAATCCAGACAACCGACAGACACGAAAAATATCTGAAGTTACACACATCAAAAGTGTCTAGGGATCAAGCATTTTTATGCGGATTTCTTGAGATTGAGATGTGGCCTTTGTAATAAATTTATGATTTTATAAATTTATATGGATCCTTTTTGGTGCATTTCATAATTTGAATCAGGAACTGTGAATCAAATTCGAGTAAAAGATGAAAATCAGCTGTCAATATTTTCCCTATAAAAACATACAACGCATTGAAGACATTATTAGTGCTACTGTTTCCCTACTACTGATTAAAACCAACGTTATTATGGAGCGGCGACGTCATTTAAGCAGGGAAGAAATGCTCAGAGCCGTGGGAATGATAGAAGCTGGTTCCCGGCAACGTACTGTGGCTTTAGCTCTGAATACAAGTCAGAGTGTTATCAGTCGACTTTGGACACGATACCGAAGCACTGGTACCGTGGCTGAGCGCCATGGAGGACGGTATCGCTGCACCACACGGAGACAAGACCGATACATTCAAATCTTAACTCGAAGAGCTCCAACAATAACCGCCATGATGTTAGCCGTGAGGCTTCATCACTCTTCAGGGAACTTAATTAGCGACCAAACAGTCAGAAACCGCTTGCATGAAGTGAACCTTCATTCCCGAAGACCGCTACGGGTACCACCTATAGCAATGCACAATCGTAGGATTCGATATCAATGGGCTCTTGAACACAGAAATTGGGCAGAAGAACAATGGCGTTTCGTGTGCTTTTCTGATGAGTCTCGTTTTGGTATGAGACCGGATACAAGACGTATACGACACTGGAGAACCCCTGGACGCCAACAGCGATTAAAATCCTGCCAGGAAGTCCATCCTTATAGTGGTGGAACCATCATGGTATGGGCGGGTATTTGGATCGGCGGAAGAACTGAGTTGATTTGGATCAGAGGCAACCTCAACGCTCAAACTTATGCTGAGACGATTGTATCAGACGTCATCGTTCCTCTACAAGTGCAAATCGGTCCCTTATTTCAGTTAATGCATGATAATGCACGACCGCACACCGCAAGAGTTGTAAGACAGACTCTCGCCGCAGCTAACATCAATGTCCTGCCCTGGCCTGCTCAGTCGCCAGACTTGAACCCGATTGAGCATGGATGGGATATGCTACAGAGAAGAGCTCTGCCGAATATGGAGGGTATCCAGTCGCAAGAAGACCTTTTTTTGTTGTTGCAACGAACATGGGCGGCCATTCCACAGCGTGATTTGGATGAACTCATTTTGAGTATGCCAAACCGATGTTCTTGTGTTGTTAGTGTTCGCGGTAGAAATACGGATTATTAATTGTTTAAGTTACCCAATAAAATTTTAGAGAAAACTGTTATTTCAGTCTTTTTTTCGAACTTTTGTGTTAGTGGTTCAAATGTCAAAAATCCCTTTATTAGGAAAATGGCAAATTTCTTTATTAATGCAAAGGTGACTTGGTTTATCGTTACTGTGACAAACGAAAACACTTTATTTGATGAATTCTTAAAGAAAATTTTAATTAATATCAATCAGGAGAAAAGTTATTGCAAAAATATATGTTGATCCCTAGACACTTTTGATGTGTGTAGTTGTTTTGTTACTTTTTAAATAGTCAAATTATATTATTTTTTATTTTCTAAATCAATGCCTAACACCAAAATATTGCCTTACGTTTTTGTTCTGGTTTTACACTTAAAAATACAAATTGCATATTAGTCTACAAAATTCGTAACTGTATATGTAACTAAATGACGATACAGTATTCATGGATACAGTATACATGGACACAGATGCAGTATTTATGGGACATATTATCTAGGTGATCTGGAGATGGGGTGCTACACCAGAAACCTCCCCGTGTGGCTGGTGCATATCCTGTCCTGTGGCTTAGGCCTAGGGAACCGAAATGTGCTGGTCCGGTGCACTCTGGGCAACTACGTATGAGTCGTCCGCAAGGATACCTCATGCATAGACTGATAGCTGGCAATCTCGTAACCCCGTACGTGGTGCGGGGCCGTAGGCCGCCATCCTTCGGGGTGGGGTCTGCGAGGAAGAAAACCTCTCTAAAAATCACCCTGGGTGGGGGGCATTGAGCAGCCCCGGTGTCGGAGGGCAGTGCGCTGCCCGGAGGAGCTCGTAACCCCGTACGCAGTGCGGGGCCGTGGGCTGCTGCCTTCTTCGGACTCCAACAGGAGAATGAGAGCATGAGGGCGGAGGTAGCGGCAATGCAAAAGGAGATGGGGTCGCTCAGAAGATTGGCGGAGGAGAGGGTGCACCCTGCACCACCTTCAACCACGCAGCTGATGCCGACGGAGGCCGTCGAGAAGCTGAAATGCTCCCTTATGTTATCCATAGGGGAGATGGTCAGCACTCGGCTGGCTTCCATGGAAGAGTAGAGTAGCGGTGTTCCATAAGTGGCGGGCTCACGATCCGGGATAGCCAGACCGGGACCAAGTTCTTGGTTGTCCCAGGATCGGATAGTCCCACTAAGGCGGATGCCCTAGCGAGGCGCCTAGGTGAGGTGATGGCCGAGCTGATTGACGTCAGCAGGCCAGATAAGGTGGCCGACCTACGGATTGTGGGGCTCGACGATTCGATTACGACGGACGAGGTGGTGCAGGCGGTGGCAGCCAAAGGGGGTTGCCAGGCTGACAGGGTGGTGGTAGGGGAGATACTCCCTGGACCAGGAGGAAGGAGGGTCGCCACCGTGAGGTGCCCGGTCGGTGCGGCCAAAAAGGTGGATGTAGGCGAGATGCTGAAGGTGGGATGGAGCCTCACTTGGGTGAGAGTCCTGGGACCCCCGCCTTCGCATTGTTACAGGTGCATGGGTAGGGGTCATGATGCCTATAACTGCCCATCCAAAGTGGACCGCAGCAACCTGTGCTTCAGGTATGGGAAGGCGGGACACAGGGCTGCGACGTGCGCCGCCCCGTCCCTATGCGCGGTGTGCGTGGACAGTGGCCGGCTTGCTGACCACGTCATGGGAAGCAGGAGGTACGACCCTCCGGTTACCCGAGGCAAGCCCCCGGAGAAAGTGGTCGCTGGAACGTCGGCGCCCGGACGGGTGCCCTCAGAGGGGGGGATGTCCGAGTAGCCTAGGCCGCTCGGACTCCCCAACTCAGTCGACCGCATCTCCCCCCTCTTCTCCTAGGAGAAGGGGTGAGGAGACGCGGGCGGCCAGGAGAGGAGAGAAGGTTGGGGAGAATTTTGCTCCCTCTCCCGCTCCCCCAGGAACGGCGGCCCCTCTTTTGTAGTTCTGTCCTGCAAAGAGGAGTGGCGGAGAGCTACACGGGTACGCCTATATAGCCATCCGCATCGGACGGGGGGCGGTACGGTAGGCACTAGGCCGCGTACCCAGCCCCCACGCGCGGGCCATCCTGCGCACGTCTGCGGGATCCTCGTAATACCTCGGGAGACCCTTGCCGTGGAGCCCCGGTGAGGCCGGGAAGCTGATGGGTGCGGAGTCGTGGAAAAATCCCTAAACGGGGGACCCCCCGGCTTCGCATAAAGCAGTGTAGAAGGTATTCGCAGGACTTTTTTAGCGGATATTATGCCGTAAAGCACCCGTAAGAATTGCGGGATCCTCGGTGGTCAGCCACTGGGGGTTCGCAAGACTTGCGGGACCCAGGTGTGAGGTCCGTTCGGCGGTGTGCCTCTTAAAGGCGCCGTCGTCTGTAAAAAGATTTTTTACCAGCGTTATAAAAAAAAAGGTGATCTGCAGATGCAGCTGGATTATATAACTTTTGAACTCCTGGAACAACAATGAACTAAGGATTCATTAAAGTCGTCATATTCGATGATTCATTGCAGATCAGAGATTATAGTACCTATCATTGGGGTTCCAGGAACTGTAACAAAAAAATAATTAATATGTCGAAATAAAGTTATATAAAAATGATTTGGATTGTAATAGGTGTACAGTTGTACAGGTACCTCAAAATGCAATTTGTTGTGAGAATTTCGCTACAGAAATGTGCATGAGTATTATAATGTTAATGTTTTTATATTGATTAAAAAACGGTTTTCACAACTTCTCGCTCTAAGGCTTAGAACTCATGCCGCGATTTTCTCCTGTGCCCACCGCGGAAACGAGATGCAACTCGTGTTGAATGTAAAATAAAAAATAACATTGGGAACATTTTGCCCCACTAATCGAAATGTAGCGAACACAAACGAAACATATTTCAATTGATGTATACAATTATGTATATGTCTCTATCTAATTACATAATTACTATATATAAGTAAAATATAAATACTAGAACAATAATAAGTTATATTAAATTTATATGTTCCATAAAATATAATCCACACCTAATGCGGGGTGATCAAAGTGATTTCGATGTCTAGCCCACCCTAAGTAATACACAACACTAATGATGTGTGCGCAACTTCCCAATGTCCCTTTTACCATATTTGCACGAGCAGTAATATTCTGTAATTGCGTTTATTCATGTAACTGCCTATTATGCCATAAAGCGACTACGAAGATTTTAATAAGTTTTAAGTTCATTGTTGTACTAAGAGTTCAAGAATTATATAATCCAGCTGCATCCCCAACATGCCTACTGCTTGTCATTTAGTAACAACATTCATTTACGAATGTTATAGATAAATAGGCATTTTGTATTTTTTTTGTGTAAACCCTGAATATTTTGTTGTTAGCTTTAGATTTCGAATATAAAAAAATCGAAAACAAAAAAAACCTGAGATGTCTCGTTTCTATCAGGTCCTGAGTCACAAATAGCCGTTCCTCTTTCTTTAGATTTAAACTGTGATTTAATCTGGACTGCAATTTTGCATTTAGCGTGGAATTGGAATGCAGGTTGTCTGTTCAAGCCCTTAGGACTAAAATATTAACTTTATATTATTATGTGTATTTATACTACCAAAACATTTTATTTCAGTTCAGTAAGTAATTATTGTTTACCAGTGTTGTTAAAAATAGGTATTAGAATATTGGTAAGCATATTATGGTATCCAAAAAAATTACAACTTTTCTAAGTAACTGGTAGCACTCGTGATGTCAGAAGTAATTGTAATTACTTGGCTAAACAAAATTGCCGACTAAACTAAAAGTTTTCCCTTAGCGCCTAAGTCGTTTGGGTATTATGCAAATTATATCATGAAGGGGTAGTGCAGGAGCACGGTCTCATGAATATTCACAGGACTGTCATTGCCAAAGTTCTATTTTTATAATGGAATGCCTCAGACACGGCAATAATTAGTGCTGGCTTATAGGAAGAGTTCACATTTCCACTCTACTATTTAAAAATAAACATGTTACATAGTTCTATTAGAACTAACTTACCGTCCTTGTTAGATGAAAATTATTGTTATAAATTATTGTGTGTATTCGTTTTAAATGATCACCCTGCCATCTGCCGATTTATCAAATTGTGTGTTATGAATAATCATGAAAACTGCGTTATTTATAACATTGTCAAACCTTTATGAATGTTCGAAATTTTATTGAAATTTATAAAACTTAAAAGTAAAATTCGTTTTATTAGGTATTCAATGATAATATCTTATTTATACCCGGTCTTTAATATCGTTGCCGATAAAGCTCGATTTACTAACTTATTTCATTATTACTGACGTTTATTTTTACAGTTTAAACAAAATAATCCAAGATTGATTTAGTTTAGAGAATTATATAATTATTATATAATAATATTTATTAAATTAAACTTCAAGTTGGACATTAAGAATTTAAAATTAAATATTCTGTAAGACTCGTTTAACGCAGGTAAGTAGGTAGGTACGCAAACTAATTAAAATGTGACAGGAAAATGAAAAGAGATTTAATTACGTTATCTCATGTTAATTTTTATGTTGTGAACATTATTCATTTCAAGAAGAATAATTTCAACCACCATAAATAAAAATACGTAACAAATAATACTTCTAAACACATAGTGCAGTCATTGAAGCGAAAAATACGGTCTTACCTCCGAATTTTTTTACTGTGAACCGATATGCATATGCATGAAATTTTGGAATTAGGCTCATTTTACCCTTAACTTCAAAAGTGAAAATGATCTAAACTCCGCCTATTATTTTTAAGGGGTGTAAACAACCACTTAATGGAAAAATTGACATTGAGCCATTTTATCGCTAGAAAACATGTCTAATAGTAAGTGGTGAAATTGTAAAGTATTTTCTAACATAATTACCTCATATTAAAATCATTTTCAGCCCATTGAAAATCTTACAACCCTTGCAAACAACCCCTAAATTGAAAAAATCACAAAAAAATACTTTGGTATGACATAAAAAGATGTAAGTATAGAGTAAGTAATATTTTATATTCTCTATAATAATTATCAAATTTTAGCCCCCTTTTAACCCTTGAAAACTACCCCTTGATAAAAAATTGTTAATTTTTTTTTATAAAATGAAAAGGATTTTAATATTATTCCACACTCTCGAAAATGATTATCATATTCTTAAGCTTTTCTACCCTTAAACTACCCCTAAATTAAAACAGTAAATACATATGATTACATATTTAAAAATAATTTAATTTAGAGTAAAAAATTGCCATTTATTGAATATAATTTGTATGGCTTAAGAGAGGCTGTGATTGCGCTGCCACGCGCTCTTTAAACAATCATATCTCCGTCAATTTTTGTTTGACAGAAAAAACAAAACAACCAAATTGTTTGTCAGAAAAATACCCAAATTTTTAATCCGTACACTTTTATACGTATCTGTCGTCATTTTTGAGATATTATGAAAAGAAAGTGAGTATTTTAAAAATTTGAAATTTTGTTTTTGTTTTTAATCGTGAATTTTTTGAAAAATATGTGTCCTGAAGCAGCCAAACTGACATTATCTATCAAACTCTTTATAATAAAGTTAATTCTAGGCGGAATACGATTAATTTTAATTTTGGTGGAAATGGCACTTATGAAACCCATTGATTTAAAAGAAAAAACATTAGATGCTCCCCTTATTTGCAATTCAGCTCACTTATTTTACGTGCAAAAGACTTTTAATAGTGCTCATTTTAAAGCTTATTTCAGGCACTACAAAGCCATTTTGTATTAGAATACATAAAATGCATCTGCTCGCCGCTAGATGGCATTGACCACATCGATTAAATTTCAGACACAATAAAAAATGGTTTTGATCTTTAATATCTAGCTTAATATTGCATTTAGAATACTTTATAAAAAACCAAATTGTTCATTGTTTTACCTGCTACAATTTTGTTCTTCATAAAATTTTCGATAAAACGTATATTTTTGGAGATATTTGCAAAAAACCGATGAAAAACGTGAAAAAATTGCGGATTTTCAATTGCCAATAACTTTAAAAGTATTGGATTTTTTGAAAAACTTTATAGATGATTTTTTGCTTAGGGGTGGAAGGGGGTGAAAATGATTTGAACTCCGCAACCACCCTGGGGGCGGAGTTCAAATCATTTTCACTTTTAAAGTTAAGGGTAAGATGAACCTAATTCCAAAATTGTATGCAATTCGGTTCACAGTAAAAAAAAATCGGAGCAATAATGCTTCAATGACTGCACTAACAGGACATGGGAAACTCGGGACCAAAACGGTGCGGGCACATTAGCAAATTCATAGATGCGTGGAACTTCAAAAA